TGGCTTTTTTCCCTGTCCGGATTTCTTGCTTTCTGTCTCTGTCTCTTTCTCTTTGCCAGCACACACACCCTATAACAAAAATCTCTCTTTAAAAAAGACAGACAGTGGTGAGCAGTAAAAATATAGGCAAATAAAACTATTTGCTTGGGCAGATTTAAAATTAGGCCAGTTTATTGAACAGCTAGAACAATCTACATGAAGATAAATCCTTCACTTGTTCACTTGTTTAAGAGAAACTAGAAATCTGAGATGTGAAATCTCCTGGTCTTTTTTTTTTTAAGAGTTAGAGTGTATGTGCTCACTAGAGACAGAGAGACAGAAAGCGAGAAATCACCCCTTAGGGGAACTGGCCCGGCCACAATCCCTTCTCCATTTTCCTCTCAGGGTTTTGGGCACACACGCACATGCACGTGGCGTGAGTTTTAAGCCACTGAGTGCAGTATCAAACCGTGGTTGACTACGTGGGAGTCCAGTGATGTAGCCATTATGCCATCTACTGGTCCTTGTTCTTTCTCTCTTTCTAACCTGTCCTTCATATTGTGTCACTTCCCATGAGTTTTCAGATAAAATCTTTTGATGATTTTCCACTTCCTACAAAATAGCTCGTGCCTCACTGGGACGTGAGGACCGAAAGTAATGAGCAAGACCTGATAGAGAATTTAGTTTGTGTTTAATTTTTGTGTTTCAGTGTTTTCAGTAATTAGTATAGTAAATGTTTTTTGATATCTTTCGCACTTGAAAACTCCATGCAGAACTCTTTGTGTTTAGCAGTATTTGGTTTGTTGTCCTGTGAAGAACTACCAAATTTGATATATCTAAGTTAGACTTTCTTCTTATAGTGAAGATGATTTTTAACTCATAGTAACTGTACAAGTAGTGTTTTCTTTTTTACATAACTGTCACTTGTCATTTGTAGCTGTTGTACATGTGCAGTTTCCTGATTATAGTGGGGGTTCCTGGAAGGGGTGGGGGAGCCCAGAACACAGTCTGGCTCACTGCTTACTCTGTAGTTTCTCTTCTGCCCCTCCATGCTGCCTTTTGTTAGGTCTGCAGTGTCTCTAGCTTTATTTATATATTTTCAAATTGTCAATTGCTGGAGAGGCTGTGCACTCGCCAGATATAGAAGGAGAGAACACTCCTTAATGGGGCAGGATCACGTCACAATCTCTTCTCTGTTTCTTCATTCTGTCGAGATTCTAGGCATGAATGCACACAGGCACACACACCCTTGCGTGTTTCTTCAAGCTGTTTGGGTCAGGATTTAAATTGCAAGTTGGCCTTGTGGGATCCAACTTCCTTAACCACTGGGCTATGGGGCTGGCCCTGCCCCTTGCTTTTCTTAATTAATAGCCTCACCTGTTTTGACACCATAGGCAAGGACAGAGGGGGTAATGACTAAAGCACATCTGCCTCTTTTTCCTTGTTTGGCCACAGCCTACACTGGTTGGAATTAAGCCCAGTGTGGCTTAAGAGATAGGGACTATTATCATGCACATAACTTTTTTTTTAATTTAGAAAGTGAGTGGGAAGAAGAAAACTTCCCAAGAATGACTGTTAATTTTAAAGCTGGCTTCCTGAGAGAAAAGCTGACTTGCATCATATTTAAAGTTCAGACTAAGTTTGTTTAGTCTTTAAACAGACTATTCTAGACGATTAAAAAAAAAAAACAAACTTGTTTGTTTCTTTCATGAGCTAGAGATGGGCAAGTGAATGGGGAAGAGGAGAAAGAGAAAGGCCTGCACCTTCAGCAGGGTCTGACACTGACATCCTCTTTGCAGCCTTTCTAGCGAGCCAGGATGATAGGTATGGCCAACCCCTAACCCTGGTGTGTGCAGGTTTACCTGGGAACTGAACCCTGATCTTCCATATGGCTTCCAGTGTTGCAGAGCATTGCATTACTGCTGCACCACTGTGGCCATTCTTTAGAAGATTTTTAATAGTTTGATTTGCTGTCACCCTGCCTAAATAGTTGTGGGTTCCAAAAATATTTGTAAACACTCTAACTTCAGCATAGTACATAAATTTTTTTTTTTTGAGAGATTTTTGCTATAGGGTGTGTGTGCTCTCCAGAAAAGAGAGAGACAGAGAGACAGAAAGTGAGAAATCACCCCCCGGGGGGATGGCCATGCCACAGTCCCTTCTCCATTCTCCTCTCGGGATCTTGGGCACGCACGCACACATGCCTGGTATGAGTTTAAGCTACCGGGTCCGGGTCTCAAACTGCAGTCGACCACTATGTTGCGGGAGTTCAGCAACATAGCCATTACGCTAACTGCTGGTCCCATAATACATAAACATTATCAATAGAAGGGTGGTTGTTGCAATATATTAGAGGAGTCTTTATATTTTGATTGGATGATTTACAAGAAAATGTGTTTCCAGGACAAAGAAAGGGGTTGATAGAAGAGTATACTTAGTGTCAACAACCCCAATCACCTAGGCCAGCATCCTGGAATTACCTATTTCTCCCCTGACACTCCACACATGTGAGTTAATCAGTGAGGAGCATCAGGCCTAGCTCTGAAATAATGGTCTGATCCATTGCCTCTCTCCTCTCCCTTTGCCTAGCTAGTGCTTACTTTAAGTCTTCATCTCTCATGTCGTTATTGAGTATCTGTCCTTATTGAGTATCATATTTGCGTCACATCACATGATTCTCCAGATAAGACCTTTTGATGATTTTCCACTTTCTACAAAGTGACCCATCCTTTTATTGGTGCTTACATGCCTGCCTGCCTGGCCCTTGTCCTGACTCTCCTTTCACAGGGACATCCTACCATGAACAGTTTTTGGATGTTCCCTTGAACTTGGTGGTACCTTTAACCCATGATGTTTCCTCTGCTTTCAGGCAGCTCAGTATTTTGTCTATTCTGTCAAGCACACTCATTTGAAATCCTGGCTTAACTGTTGTTTTCTCTATGAAGCCTTCAAGACCTGGCATCCTCTGCAGCAAAGACTCATATTTGTTTCCCTAGTGCCTAGCAAGTGTTTGGCACACAGAATTTTCAATATGAGTTTGATGAATTAATTGCTTCTATCTGTATGTAGACTTAGAATAAAAATTGTAACATAAAAATATGAAGGTTTTGGGACCAGAAGATGGCGTAATGGCTACGTCACTAGACTCCCATGTAGTCGACCTCGGTTTGAGTCCTGGACCCAGTGGCTTAAACTCACACCAGGTGTGTGTGCCTGCGTGCCCAAGATCCCGAGAGAACGGAAGAAAAGGAATAGTGGTGTGGTCATCCCCCCTGGGGGGGTGGTGATTTCTTGCTTTCTGTCTCTCTGTCTCTGTCTTTCTGGCGAGTACACGTACCCTGTAGCAAAAACCTATGAAAAAAAAAAAAAAAAAAAAAAGAGAAGAAAAGAAAAAAAAAACCTTCCCCCTCACCACCAAAAAAAAAAAAAGTGAAGGTTTTAAGTTAAAAATTTCTCTAGAGTCAGCAGGTGATGTGGTAGTTGAGGTGCTGGATTCCCACATGGCCTGCTGAGGTTTGAGTCCAGAACCAGTGGCTTGAAAATCACAACAGATAAATAGATAAATAAATCAAAGAAATGTTAAAAATTTTTTTTTTCTCTGCCAAGCTATTGATAGGTCAGTCTGTTCTTAGCAAGGACGATTTCTGTTAGATAGCACTTTGGCCTAGATTATTTTACTTTTGAAAATGACAAGTTAAAAATATGTGTCATGTAACATATATTTACTACTGAGTACTTTGAGTAATTCAAACTTTCTGTTTTCTTTAGATAGGTAGTGACCTTCACTAAGGTAACATAATTTTTAATTATACAATACAATAATGTTTTTATCTCTAGAAAAAAGCAGAAGAAGCTCATAAAATTTTTGAAGGTCTTGGACCAAAAGTTGAACTGGTAAGTAAGCAGTTAATTATTTCACATCCAGTGCTTTTATTGTAACTTCTCTGGGATAAGATGGAATACGATCAGTCTGGGGCTGAGAGGGATGCAGCGGGCAGAGTTAATGATGAAGTTGAAAATAATGATAAAGAAACAGTCACCTCTGTAGAGGCGTCATCCTGAGCATCTTTTTGCCTGAGCTGCTATTTAAGAAGAGAACTAGAAAGCTCTTTGCATCATAATTGTTATGATGATGACAGTCTTACTCTTCCTTTGCCTTTGAAATACAGAATCTATGAATAATTATGTTTACTGTGGGATGCCATGGATTTACAAACTTTCCTGCAAGAGTGGCACTATTAGAGATGGGGTACATAGTTTATTCAGTTAACCCAAAAAAGTCTGGAGATTTTGGTAGGCCACGTTATTGTGTATGTTCATTAATACTTTACCTAGGCTTATATTAAAATACTGTTTCGCTGTCTCTTCTTCATAGACATATGTACCACATTTTATACATAAATATTTGGTTTATTTTATAGCCACTGTATAACCAGCCATCAGATACCAAGGTGTACCATGAGAACATCAAGACGTAAGTATTAATCATCTTTGGAGTTCTTCAGTTAAAGACCATATATTCTATTAAGAAATCATTTTTATGTTATCCACTGACATTATTATAATATAGTGTAGGTGTGTAAAAAAAAAAAAAAAAAGAGAAGAAAAGAAAAGAAAAACCTTCCCCCTCACCACCAAAAAAAAAAAAAGTGAAGGTTTTAAGTTAAAAATTTCTCTAGAGTCAGCAGGTGATGTGGTAGTTGAGGTGCTGGATTCCCACATGGCCTGCTGAGGTTTGAGTCCAGAACCAGTGGCTTGAAAATCACAACAGATAAATAGATAAATAAATCAAAGAAATGTTAAAAATTTTTTTTTTCTCTGCCAAGCTATTGATAGGTCAGTCTGTTCTTAGCAAGGACGATTTCTGTTAGATAGCACTTTGGCCTAGATTATTTTACTTTTGAAAATGACAAGTTAAAAATATGTGTCATGTAACATATATTTACTACTGAGTACTTTGAGTAATTCAAACTTTCTGTTTTCTTTAGATAGGTAGTGACCTTCACTAAGGTAACATAATTTTTAATTATACAATACAATAATGTTTTTATCTCTAGAAAAAAGCAGAAGAAGCTCATAAAATTTTTGAAGGTCTTGGACCAAAAGTTGAACTGGTAAGTAAGCAGTTAATTATTTCACATCCAGTGCTTTTATTGTAACTTCTCTGGGATAAGATGGAATACGATCAGTCTGGGGCTGAGAGGGATGCAGCGGGCAGAGTTAATGATGAAGTTGAAAATAATGATAAAGAAACAGTCACCTCTGTAGAGGCGTCATCCTGAGCATCTTTTTGCCTGAGCTGCTATTTAAGAAGAGAACTAGAAAGCTCTTTGCATCATAATTGTTATGATGATGACAGTCTTACTCTTCCTTTGCCTTTGAAATACAGAATCTATGAATAATTATGTTTACTGTGGGATGCCATGGATTTACAAACTTTCCTGCAAGAGTGGCACTATTAGAGATGGGGTACATAGTTTATTCAGTTAACCCAAAAAAGTCTGGAGATTTTGGTAGGCCACGTTATTGTGTATGTTCATTAATACTTTACCTAGGCTTATATTAAAATACTGTTTCGCTGTCTCTTCTTCATAGACATATGTACCACATTTTATACATAAATATTTGGTTTATTTTATAGCCACTGTATAACCAGCCATCAGATACCAAGGTGTACCATGAGAACATCAAGACGTAAGTATTAATCATCTTTGGAGTTCTTCAGTTAAAGACCATATATTCTATTAAGAAATCATTTTTATGTTATCCACTGACATTATTATAATATAGTGTAGGTGTGTTTTAGCTTTGTGTAATTTGCTGTCGTTTTACTATATGTTATCTTCCTCTGGCTTTTTGGGGGTTGGGGTAACAACTTTGTTTTCCGAGGCCAAAAAATGAAATAAATTATTGCATAAAACTAGCTGGTTTTATAATCTGCTAGTAAAAAAAAAAAGGTGGATACTTAACATTGAAATGGCTTACCTTGAGGCTTGAATTTTTTGCCTCCTGTTTTGTCTTTTTTTCAGTGGAGTACCTGCAAGGCGCATGATGAAGTAAGATAATGAAGCTTTTTCATTTAAGACTAGTGATGACACCGTCCCCCACCAAGCCACATCTGCCATTGCAAAGTAGAAGTGCCACGGATCATTTTATCATTATTCAAAATCCTATTCTAGGGAACTCCCTTCCATGACTCTTGCTAATGACGGTATTTGTAGACCCTTCTGCCATTTACTGTCCTGGTGCCTTGGAAGCGCTCGGTCACCTCATGTGGGTGAGGAGGCTGCTCCAGAATGTAGTTTGCTTGGCCTTGCTCATCCTAGTACCAGGCCTTCATGGATGCACATTTTGGAATAAGAAAATAAGTGAAAAGAAAACCTAATTTCTTTATCTGATTGAAGTGAGAGAGGAAGCTAGATAGGTATCTTTTTTTTTTTTTTAAATTATCATACTTTAAGAGAATTTTCAGTGAATTATTCTTAGTTTGTGACACAAATGTTATATTTCTACTTTATGTGTTTTATTAAATATTACCAGAATCATCATAATTATTTACTACTACAGTTACTAATGAGCGCATTGCTATTTATATCTTTTATTTTTTCCTTTTTTTTTCTTTTTATTTCTGAGTGTGTGCAATAGTTGACTACTTTGCAGAATTGGTGGCAAATATAATTTGCATGGTAGTATGCATGAAAACGATTGAGTTTTGAATAATTACAACTTTTGTTAAATAAGTGGGTTATAATAAAAGTCATATATACTTATGAATTTTTTTCTGTGAGATGCTGCTATGGTCTTGAGAACCCTCAGAAGTAGGTTAGACCAAACTCAAAATATATCTTGTTTTGGAACTGTATAGCTGTTTTTTACATTTTTTAAAAGGAGTCTAGCATATAAAATTTTGTTGGCTACTTTTAATGATTTTCTTTTCCCCCCACAAAGCTTTAGTTATGTTTGTGTTCTGTCTCCCCCCACCCCCAAGTTTAAGCTGGGTAGTAGATCTGTCTGATTTATTTCATGTTATCTACAGTGCCTATTTCATGCTCAACACACTGTCCTGAGATGGGTTTCTGACTGGCTGACATCATTTAGAATCTTAAAAACATTTAAAATTGTATTTATTGGTTGTCATTTGCTTTTGACTAGCACATAATTACAAAGAGATCAGATTGAATACATGGTAACATTCCCACTGTATGTCATCTTTTAAAATACTTTTACTTAGCTGCATGCATTCATATGAATCGTTCATCGTCATTTGCTTTGTATGAAACAGCAAATGTACCTTATAATGATTCTTTTCATCTCTTGGCTACTTTTTCATATAGCCAGCTCCTGATTGTCCATGCTTATTTGAGTGGAGCCAGTGTCACTGTTAGCCCTGAGTGGCAGATAATCCAAAAAATTACTTCTACTTGCCTTGGCTTTGTATTTATATTTGAATAATCAGCTTGAAATCCTTTCTGGAAGTAGGTGGGGTATAAATATTTATATTTGAACCTGCATGTCATTGTTTTGAAGGTCATAGTGCTTCAGATTTAAAAAGTAAAACTGTTACATTAGGATATACAAGAAGATTTCCTGTCTTGTCACATTGCCCTCCATTACTACTTAGAGTGGATTGTGTCATTTCTGTGACTGAAACAAAACTTCTGTTTAAAGCAGAAGTCACTTCTCTCTAAATATGTTGGTAGACATTCCTCTCACAGACGGGAGATCAGCACTTTACCTAAGGTAGGGAGGTAACTTTAAAAGATTTTCTTTCTTTTTACCTCCCTCCTCCACGAGTATGCAAAGATTTTTATATCACCAAAGTTCTTAAGAAGGATAGATAGCTGTGTAATTATAATTTGGAAATAATATATGTCTTATAATTGGATATATTACCTGAGAATTAACTGTTTGTATACAGTTTTGCTGTAGAGCAGGAGGAATTTTAGTTAGTTCTAATTACTGCAAAAATCATGAAGTCTTATTTTGCAGGGTGAAAAAAAAGAGAATTAACTTTGATTACATCATAATTTAAAAATAATCTTTGCCTGTTTTCCAGTGTCTCTGGAAAAAAAAAAGCATGAATGTATCATTAAATTGTGCTTTTTCTTAATGTCATGCAACCATATTTTTCTCTTCTAGAAACCAGGTGATGAGGAAAAAACTCATTTTATTTTTTAAAAGAAGAAATCATGCAAGAAAACAAAGGGTGAGGTCCTATCCTTGTTAACTGAAATTTGTACAATTTCCCATTCATGCTCATTTAGGCATTCACTCCCCCATTATTAATGAGAACGGTCCTTGATTATGTATGAGAATAAGTACTGGTTTAGAAAATGGCTATACATATGAGTTAAATATAAGTCTAACATTTTAATTCACATTTAATGCCGTTGTCAAATTAATTTCATTGGTCATCTATGTATGATAACATGTTCATCTAGCCAAAATAAAGAAAATGGTGAGTAGTTAAGAAAATATGAAAAATAGGATGATCTACATTAGTCTCTTAAGCCTCAAACAAATGTGGGTAAGTTTTAGTTATGCTGATTAGACGTTGCTCTTCTTCTTTTACTAGAAACTGGGTCATGTAGGTTTCAGCTTTTTCAAATTTAAATAATTTTGCATATGTTGTTATATGACTTGCAGTCCAAAAGTTGTGTGGTTATAATCTTCATGGAATTTAAGTTACAGAAAATAGAATGCTAATATTCTCATATTCATAATGTGTTCGTGCATACTAATTTTACAAACTGTTAATACATTTAAATTCAGTAAATAAATGATGTTTTTTAAATCCACATCAGAAATGAATTTTGTACCTTAGGTTTAATGACCTGACAGTTAATGAGTTGTAAAGCTCAAGAGTCAGTAGCTTTTATTTGATGTAAAATGTCTAATGTTCTAATTTGCTGGTCTAGTCCTTCAGATGCCTTCATAAGTTACTGGCATTGGATTGTTGTTGTTGTTGTTGTTGTTTTTCCCCAAGAACATACAAATAAGAAATTAACACAAATTTTTTTTTTCCCTCCAGTAATTTTGTTGTGGTAGTTTGCTAAGTTAGCTCTCTAGAGATGCAACCTGAAGCATAGACTTTTTCACATTTCAGAGAGTAAATGCAAACTTTATGTGTTCACTGATTCGCTTAATACATACTTATTGGCCATGTACTTTGTTCCATGCATTACTCTACAGAGGTGAGCACGGTAGCCCTGTGGTCTCAGCCCACGGGGTGCCCTAGGTATCAGGCGGACAAGTGCGCAGGCAGTCACTGCACTGTGGTTTGCGGTGGTCATGGGCACACAGATGACTGTGAGAGCGTGGAGGAGAGGGCCACCTGATGCAGATAAGAACACACAGGAGAGGTCTGCAGGGAAACCAAGACTGTGAGCTGAAGGAGAGCTTAAATAAGGTCTGGGAGGTGGAGGGAGTATGGCAGGTCAGAGCTGGCTGGAGCTAAAACTGAGCTGGGAGTGTGATGAGCAATGGGGCTGCTTCAGGAAACCACGTGCCAGGTGTAAGTGCCTTGCTGGCCACCTGTGAGACTTTGGATCAGTTCTCGAAGGCACCTTTTAAGTTTTCAGACTGAGGTGGCATAATGTTCAGGTTTGTATTTTAAGGATTTACGTTTGGCTATAACATTAAAAATGTGTTGGAGACATAAAGGAAGCCATTATTTTAATCTGGGTGGGGGTGATGTTGGCCTGGATAAAGTGGCTAACAATAGAAATGGAGAAAAGGTGAGGGACACAAAAGATATATAGGAATTGCAAAGAGTGATTGGGAAATGGGGGTGAAATGTAGTCATGTGGTGTCAGGGAAATAATGTTCTCCTCCCTCGTGTCAGGAAAGTGAAATGACCAATGACAGTGGTTTTTGTAAGTCCTTTTTTACTTTCCTCCATCCATATGTTGTCAGATATGTACACAGTTCTGTGTCCATAATGGAGAATTTTCTGTTTAGAAAATGGGATTATAACTTCTCTTAAAGCATTTTTTATTTCATTTAGTTCATTGGATTCTTTTTACTGTAAAGTACAACTAGTTTCTGCCTTCTCTACACTGTCAAAAATGTTTATTATATGGTATTATTTATAATAGCAAAAAACTATAAGCAACTAGAATGTCCACCAGTAAAGGAATGATTAAAGACTGCATGTTTTCTCTGATACATTGGAAGAATAACAACAAAATGTTAACATGATTGCTTTTTGTAAATTTTCCAGTCTCTTCTCATAAGAAAGACATTGTTATTAAAAGGAAAGATAGCTAGTCCATTACTAGTAGCAGGTCATAGACTTGTTGATTAATTTGTGTAGTCTTAATGTTAAGTAAAAAAATCTAGCCATAATGTTTTCTACATGTCGGTCTTACATAGGAAGCAGCTCCTTTCTCTCTCCTTTATCAGTTCAAGAACAGCTTTTCACTCACAGTTGAGTTATAGACCAAATGTACTTCTGACTTTACCTTAAGAAATAGCATTTATTTTAAAGTATTAGGTTTGTCAGAATCACAGAATTTAGTTTAATTATTGATTTGCTACGGGTATTTAATAGGAGCAAAAAATCTGCCAGCGTTACGATCAGCTCATGGAGGCATGGGAGAAAAAAGTGGACAGAATAGAAAATAATCCTCGGAGGAAGGCTAAAGAAAGCAAAACAAGGGAGTACTATGAAAAGCAGTTTCCAGAAATTCGAAAACAAAGAGAACAGCAAGAAAGATTTCAGCGGTAAGTGTTGAGTGACTGTAGTAGTTTTCCTTCAAACATACTTTTGCATTTTCACAGTATTACCATTTCCTAAATCTGGTCATTAAAGATATAAAGAATGTCTGTCTTCAATATAAAGTTTCTTTACCACTCAGTAAATATGATGTCTTAGGGAACTGAACATTAATTTTTAATTTAATCATCCTGTTGAATCTAAATGCAAGTGAATAATGTGAAATTCGTTAGTTCTTGAAAGTATTGATTCCTTGGGAAAGGACAGTTAATAAGAATAGACCTAAATATCCCTTAGTCTTTTGTTACCAACATAATCAAACAGTATTAAATTGCTTGCTAGGTAAGAAATTAATTGGTTTTGGTAGTTTCTGATTTGTTAATACTTTTGGAGAACAGGTATTTTCAAAAGGTTTTAAAAGCTTTCATTTTTCTTCTTCACTGTCTCATGTAAAAGTCACATACACCCTTTTTTTACTTTTTTTTTTTTTTGGAGAGGTTTTTGCTATAGGGCACGTACGCTCGCCAGAAAGACAGAGAGAGACAGAGAGAGAGAAAGCGAGAAATCACCCCCCAGGGGGGATGGGGATGGCCACCCCGCAGTCCCCTCTCCTCTATTCTCCTCTTGGGATCTTGGGCACACACACACACGCGCCTGGTGTGAGTTTAAGCCACCGGGTTCGGGACTCGAACCGCGGTCAACTACATGGGAGTTCAGTGACCTAGCCATCGCTAACTGCTGGTCCCATACCCCCTTTTACTCATAAATAAATTTTTCTGAGAGTTATGGTTGGGTTGTTTCCCTCCTTTTTAAGGTGTTTTATTTACTTTTATTATTCTGCTATCCTGTTCTCCAGAAGGCAGACAAAAATACTACTTTTGAAGTAGAAAGGGCATCAATAACTGGTTTTCCAGAGGTTTCTCATAACCATTGAATAGTTCTACAATTTGAATTTGGACATGTAACCTTTAAATCTCAATCTTAGCATTTGACTCATTATTTATTTAATGGGCCACTCAAGTGCATTACTTAAAAGTAGTTAAAATCATATTGTAGGTTTCTTCTCTTACTTTCAATTGGTTGAAAAGAAAAATAATTTATAGGGACTAACAGATGACGTAATGGTTACGTTGTTGAACTCTCATATAGTTGACTGTGGTTCAAGTCCCAGCCAGACCTGGTGGCTTAAAACTCAGGCCAGGCACATGTGCATGCATGCCCAAAGTCCTGAGAGGAGAATGGTGAAGAAATTGTGATGTGGCCATCCCCCCTGGGCATGATTTCTCACTTTCTGTCTCTCCCTTTTTCTGTCTCTGGCGAGTATATGCACCCTATAGCAAAAATCTCTCTTAAAAAAAAAGAAAATAGAAAATAATTATATAACTTAATTGAAATGTCTTTTTTATAAGAGGTCTTTAAATATATTTATAATTTCTTTCTTATATTTAGAGTTGGGCAGAGAGGAGCTGGTCTTTCAGCCACCATTGCTAGGAGTGAACATGAGATATCTGAAATTATTGATGGGCTTTCTGAGCAGGAGGTAAGAAAATTAATTGATTTGCTACAAGTTAACTCATTTATTATTATTACTGTTATAAAAAGTTTATTGGGAACCAAATGGCTATGTTGCTGGACTCCCACGTAGTCGACCGCGGTTCGCATCCCGGACCCGGTGGCTTAAAACTCATGCCAGGCGCGTGTGCGTGCGTGCCCAAGATCCTGAGAGGAGAATGGAGGGAAAGGGATTGCAGTGTGGCCATCCCCCCTGGAGGGTGATTTCTCGCTTTCTGTCTCTATGTCTCTGTCTGTCTGGCGAGCGCATGCGCCCTATAGCAAAAAAAAAAAAAAAACCTCTCCAAAAAAAAAAAGTTTATTTACCCACTTCTTCTGTGAGAGAGAGAGAAAGACAGTCACACCCAACAGAGCCCTCAGGCCACCATTCACCTCAGTGGTCCTGGGTCACAGGCATGTCTGGTGTGCTCAGGGTATTCCTGGAACAAGAACACAGGACTTTTCTCATGTAGGTCCAGCTGCGCTACTGCTACACCATTGCCAGGCCCCTACATTCATTAAATATTAAAGCACTTCAGTCCTATAACTAAGGAGCTAAGGGTTTATATGTGTGTATGTTGAGGGA